CAATCCGCACAAGAGACGCTATTCCTCAGGCTGAAATGTGTGTGCGCAGTGTGCTCCAAAACGGACAAACAAATTACACTTTGAGCTTCGGGCGCATGTCCAAACGATCAAATACACACACTAATATGTCAAAATGGCCGGCTTGGAGAGTATTTACTTAAACACAGTTTATGTCTTAAGTGGAGGAGAACAGTTGGGAGAAAATCCTATGTGTGTCAATATATTGTCTTAAAGTGAAAGACTAGCGCTTGGGCCATCAAAATGCAAATCTGCTCTTAATCTGAATAACGTTATAGCTTTAATAAGCATTAATCTATCAATACATACACTGAAAACTATGCAGTGTTCATTTACATTTGATTACTTTTAGATATATTTTGTAGGCTATTACTTAAATGAACAGTAATGTTAGTAGAACTTCATGGAAAAATGAAAGCACTGTTTATTTCATTTAATTTCATTTGTATATTTGTTATTTTATTTGTCCGTTTGTTTTACTTTGTTTCTTTGCTCATGTTCTTACTGTATCTTATCTTATGTATAAAACACTAAAAATGCCTGCACACTGGTGCATTTACAAATTGATGTTTTATATTCATTTAATTAAATATTTATTTTACATTTCAGAATATAAATTAATGTTAATTCAGCTCTTAATTTGTCATATATATATATATATAACAAAAAGTACAGATAAGAATACCGTTAAAGTACTGAATTGATAAGCAGTATCGGTAAGAGTAGTAATACTGTTAAAACCTTAACGATACCCATCCCTATGCATCACATTATTATTACACCTGTTATTCAGATTGCTTAAAAATCACTCTGACTGGTTGATGACTCGACTGGTTGGTTGTCATTATGCATAGGCCTATGGACTAATTAAATACGTCTGATTCGCATGGCATTTGAGCAATGGAATGTATGTCATTGGTTAAAATGCTAAATCACTGTAAAAAAAACATTGTTAATAGAACAATGCAATAGAATTACACTTACATGGAATGCTAGAACTGAGTCACAATTAGTTAGATGTGGTACCCATAATCTCGATTATTCATTCAATTAAGTGTGCAGCCCTGATCTGAGCTCTAAGAGAATACCACAGGCTGGACTATACAACATTATTCTCTGTGACCGTCTATGAACACAGAAAAGTTTTATTAACAGACTTATAAGGTATGGTCTGCAGGAAGAGACATTTTCAGTGATCGGGGTCAATTCCTGTTTTGTGCCGGCATTGTGGTGCTGGATTCCCAGATGTGAGAAGTCAAGACCGCAGAAAGAGAGATTAAAGCAGAGAGAGAACAACAGAAGCTGTGTCTCATTTAGAAGGCTGCATCCTCCGGAGGTCGCATTCGAAGGCTGCATACGTCATCGAGGCTGTCTCATTTCAGAAAAGCAAGTAGGACACTCCGAATGCGACCTTCGAATGCGACCTTCTTTCACAGGATTTCGGAGGATGCATGAGGTGTATCCTTCGCTGCTACAGATAACCCACAATTCTTTGCGTCGCCGTGAAGAACCGTTGTTAATTTGAAAAATGCCGGCGCCGGCAGATGTAACGTACACACAAGCGCAGATGTGGTGTTTACAACTTACCTTAATTCGCCTCGGTCAAAACTTTGTTTTTAATATCTTCCTCCTTTTTTTCTCTAATAGATGCCTGCTGTACGTACGCTGCAGCTCCTCAAACATTGAACAAAATATAACAAGTAAAAGCATTTTTTTTTTCCAATTACTTTCCAAATTTAGAAATAATTTTCCTTCATTTAAGTAGTGTGAGAGCGCAACGATGCTCTAAATGTGTTGGCATAGCAACGCGATACTTACGGTTTCCTTTTCTGCCTGTCCTACGAAGGCCGTCTCGTTTAATTCTAGGTTGAGGACACTTCGTATATGCATCCTACAGAGGATGCGACCTCCAGAGGATTCGACCTCCAGAGGGTGCAGCCTTCTAAATGAGACACAGCTAGAGACAAATTATCAGCACACAAAAGAGCACTAGCTCCCTACCAAACAGTTCTTACAACATATCTGGATCCAGAATGTCCATGAGACACTCATTGAGACAGAGACAGAGAGAAAGAAAGTAAAAATATCCTGCAGGAATAAAATCATACTGTAATAAAACTAGGGATGCACCGATATGAAAATTTTGGCCGATACCGATAACCGATTATTCTTTATTTTTGAAAGCCGATAACCGATATGTTGGCCGATAAATTTTGCAACAGAGTTTGAAAGTAAAACTTAATAATTTACTCATCCTTTTACAGAGCAGGATACTATGCTTTATCAGACAGAATTACAGTATATGGTGACCAGCTGTGGGTAATATGACCAAAATATTATTTCCTAATAATTCCTATAGCTATTTTTGTTATTTTAGTTTATCTTTTTTATTAAAAACACGAAAACTAAGATGCAAACAATGAACAATAGTATATAAAAAAAAACTGTGCTTTAAGTTTTTCAGGTATAGAATTTCTATTTAGCAGTAGCATTCAGAAATAATACAGAAATTGTATATTCAAAATTAAAAGTAAAAAAAAATAGTTTTCACTATAAATTCAATATTTACTGATCCTTATTAAAATACTAATGTTATTCAGTCAAGAACTGTAAGCTGTATTTTTGTTTACTTTTGTTGTTTGATTTACATTAAGGACAAAGACAGCAGCAAGTATTCGATTGCTGACACTTTTAGTTACTTTAAATAACTGGAAGTGAATGACACAAGAAGCCTCGCACATTCAAGTTACAAATGACTGAATAATGCATCCTTACTATATAGTAGGTGAAAAAAGTAGAATGTCTGAATTATTCATAATTAAGTACTCAGAAAACAATGGGCATATGTTCCCTGATGACTGAGATTCTTAAGTGCACAACTGCCGGGCACTTTACTATCCCATGAGGCCAAGGGAGAAGATTTGTGAATGGCAGTGACGAGACGCAACTGATGCTGACAGGTCACATGACAATTGACAATGACAACATTCCTGTGTGCTTGCCCCTCAGTTGAAAAAAAACAACAACTTACAAACAGTTGCTTTAACACAACAAACATCAGAAATGTCAACCGCATCCCACTTTGCCCTTCTGCAAATTACTGTGAATATTAGAGGTTTACATTTATGCCCCAAGAATCAAACCCATGACCTTGGCGTTGATAGTGCCATGCTCTACTGTTTGAGCTAAAGGAAGGCTGAATTTTGGCAATACTGATAATTATTTTTTTCCACAGAGTGAAAAAAAAAAAGTATTGACATCTACCAGCCTTGATATTTTTGGATAACTGACCGTTCCAAAAAAAACAACAATATATATTGGTGTTGATTAGGCTAAACAGTAAACCAACATATGTCTCTTTTATCAGACAAGACATTAGAGGGATCAGACTCAAATCTGTTGAGTCTGTTGAGGCTGAATAACACTGCACTGCGTGACATCAACCACAGCTTAAATTCAACAACTATGAGAGAGAGGCCAAAATACAGTTTAAAGAGCCACTTCATTGCGGTCTTTCAAAAAAGGGTGTACCCATTATTAAATTGCTTTGAAATTGTAGCTGCATGACAGGTATGTATCACACACTTTCACGGTCCTGTGTAATCCTGTGTAAACTGTACAGATAATAATCATGAAATTTCCAGCAATCAAGGTTCAAGCAAGCACAGATATAATCTATATAAGTGACTGTTGAATAATTCATAGGATGGTGGGAATCTCCATGTTGCTAATTGGTTTTCTCTTAGGTGGCAGGTAGTGCATGTTTTATAACCAAAAAGACACATCATCACTCAGCATTTTTCTGTATGACAAGCTACAAAGAATTGAGCTTCAGGAAATGACTGCTGGAATGTTTTGGATAGTCAGAGATAAAGAGCTGACAAAGATGACAGATTATTCTGCAGATAAACCATACAAGCATCAAGTCTATGGTGTTCAGTGAGGCATAAAAGACAAAAAAATTACAAAAGATAGATAGTAAAATATTTTACTTTTTTGCATCTTACGGAAGATGGATTCTTATCATGAGAAAGTGTTCTGACTTCTTGTTACATTGGGGATTTACAGCATTCACAACCATCAATTGACCTTCTTTTCCCCAAAACTGCCAGTTCAGTTTCAACATTGGCTTTTTACTGAAGTACTTTTTTACAATGGTCAAGTGAAGACTTTGTTTTATTTAATGGCGAAAACCCCATAACTGTTTGTTTGACAACTCCCAATTGTACCTGTAGCCTCCCGCAACTCAAATAAATGGCGGACGCTGTAGGAAAAACCCTGGTCTGTTCAAGGCCTCAAGCATCTTGCCTTACTCCATTAACCATAAATGACATTATATAGCCTACACCTCACGACTAACCGACACAGACAGGGGAAAGACCGCTGTAAAACAATAAAACTCTTCCCATGCAGGAGAGAATTAAGTTTGGAAGAGAAGAAGAGACATTCAACTTGTCACGTAAGAAGCGTGTCAGCGACACCTATGGCTGTGTCCCCCCACAAAAAAGGGTTATTAATGTAACAACACAGTTTTTCTCAATGTGCCCAAGTCTCCAGCCCGACATGTGTTTCCGTAACAACACTGGTCCTAAAGCACTGAACATGCTTCTCCAAAGCGGTTTCGAACACAACTTCCAAGGCGTTTTCCACTGTTACTGTGGGAACTCGCTGCAAATAAAGTGTCATTTTCAGTCCAGTAAAAATCACTGTACAGCGTAGCTACATATGTGGGCATCTAGTCGTGTTCTGCTGTCTAGCTTGTGGCCAACAGAATGAGACAATTGTCAAAATGCATTCTGTGTATACCCACAGGGTAAGACTATAAATAAAACAGTACGGAAAAGATTTGACAGTCAGTTAAAGAGAAGACATTGAAACAATGCAAGGTTGCGAATTCACAAGTGTGAAAGCAGTTCTATAGCAAGCTAAGCTCACAGAGGCAGAATGCTTTATCGCAGTCCGTCGATAGCCTAACAACTCACCTTTACCGAATCGTTGTATTCTGATGGACAGCATGGAACAACGAATTTATTTTATATATATATAATCCGTGAATACTTCCCAGACTTAAAGTGATCCGTGGTAGAATCAGCTCGATACATTGGGATTTGCTTAGGGGCAGTGCTTCCTTTAGAAGTGAGACGAAAGTGCAGTACGAACATCACGCGCTAGGGGAACAACAGTGGCCGACTATATTAATGTAATAACGCCTACTGTAGCTAGCCTAACTGGGAATTCTTGAATAGAATAGAATTCATTATGAAACGAACACAAACAATGTACACAATAGCCTATAGATATATACATCAGCACACATGATTCCTATGCTATACGACATTCCCGGGTTCTAACTTAACGTTTGTAAGATAGATGTAAACTAATAAATAACTAATATATATAAAAAAAAATAAAAACCATACAACATGCAGTACATACAGTACATACAAATTAATATATAATTAAGCAGGCACAATATTTTCTATTATAATTCTAGTTTTAGAACAGTTACCGATCATTTTAAACTTATTTTTTTTATATCGATATGGCAGCATTGATTGAAACCATTGGATGAGAACAAAACTTGAACTGAATTAAGCTGGATGATTGCACTATTGTTTGGTGTGTTTTTTTTTTGTAGAGCTGCTTTACAGCTTAAACACATCTTGCAACATCAACACTAATATTTAACTGAATCAAAATTGAACTCAAACTGAATAACAACATTGCTGCATATTGTAGAACTACCTATAGCTGATAGATTAACTGCACACTGTTATTGATCTGCCCTAACCTAATGACACTTTTGTCTTTTAGAGCTGTTTTACAGCAAAGCTGTCTCCATAGTAAAGAAGATTTTTCATTATTGATTCTGCTATTTCCTGTGTATTTCTGTGAAGCTGCTTTGAAACTATCTGTATGGTATAAAGCGCTATAGAAATAAGGGTGACTTGACTTGATTTCACTGTGGGCATAAATCAACATATGACAAATGCAACAAATAATGGCTTTAATGATAATGCTAAAAGCTTGTGGTCACATTTCTATTATGTTAGTCAACTGATGCTAGCATTCAGATGTTTTTTACTCAGTGTAATTTTTTACTCATTTCATAAAGATTAAGCAGGTCCTGGGGCCATGCTGAGTTCATGACCTTTGACTTAGACCTTTTTCCGGCTCCCTGGGGCTACACAAACAAGGCTAGACCAGTTGCACTACAGCTATTGCATTATTCATGCCAAGTCTCTGGCAAACTTTTTGAGGCTGTTGAATGGTAACTTATGAATGGTATGAACTCTATAAACGATAACTTAATTGAAGCGGAGTTACAGCAGTTTCAGCCATTCAGGTTAATAAAAAATAAAAAATCTAAAAACAACGTTCAAGCATCAATGTATTTGTTTGTAAACATATAAGAATTATTGGTTACAGTAATACACACGTATCAATTATGTGAAGAAACGTCTCTCGCTTTCATAAGCAAAGATCACTACCTTGTGGACAAGGTGATGTAGTGCACGTCTATTTTCAGAGCATAGCGCTTGAATATGCAACAACTGAAAGTGACCGACAGAGGGCGAAGCAATTTCAGAAAGCTCTATGTATTGATAGTTTATGTCCTTAGATCCTTGAAGTGACAAATATGGCAATATACTGTTAGAACAACATTTGAATGTAAACAACATATTTTTGGTTTTCTGAAAGAATGTGCAGGGAGTCTAAAACATATGTGTCTTTCCAGTTTTAAGAAGTCATTGTGCAGATGGTCGCTATTCAGTGCAACTCTTTGGGCCCCTGAGATCATTCAGTTTGGAGTCTGAGGAATGGATGGCTCGTGTTAACAAGTTTTATACTGTTTAGTGAAAATGTGTTAAAGGACTTAAAATCTCTTCATTCTTCATATTGCTCCGTGCTGAACTCTACAAAAAAATAAACTACAATAAACCTCTACAAAAAACTACAAACAGTACTAACAGACATACACAGTAAGCATACTTTTAAAATTGTCACTTGATTTAGTGATATAGCAATAAAGCTTGTGAGGTACTTAAATATATGAAGTTGACTGCTGTGTATGTGTAAATGCATGTGTGCTGTGTGTACAGATGGCGTAAGCATGATCTTGAATAAGACAGAGCCTATCCGACACTGACGTATTGTGAGCGTGTCGCTCTCAATATGTGAGGTAACGAGAACAGAATGACTTCTTTTTTTTTCTGTATCCCCTTTCTTCTTTTCACTCCTTCTCTCCCACTCTCTCTTTAGTGTATTTCCATCTGTTTGGAGACAAAGGGCCATGAGCCAGCTCCAGCCTGGGTCCCTGCTGGTGAAGTGGGCAAGCATAATGTGGCCCATCCCAGGGGCCACATTTCAACACATGGATCTGCCTTTGTACCTCACTGCTAGTGCAACACTCACTCTACAACACACACCTTTGATGGATATCAAGGGAATGAGTGAAAGGAGTAAGTTGAAGGTGCAAACGGAGATGGGCTCTAGGCATTGAAGATGAGCACAATTGTAATGGAAGGAGAGGAAAGATGCACTTTTAAATGCTGTGTAAGTCCTGTGGACATATGGCTGCTTTTTCTTGTGTTTCTCTACTCAGAAAAACAAGCTCCATTTGGAACAAATGGGAATGTGTTCCATATTGTCCCATTTTGGATTCTAGAAAAGTGTACCTAAATGATGATGGTGGTAGAACCCACAAACAGAACAATAGTGAGTAGGATTCTGGGCCGTCTGTACACTTCCTGACATATAGTCAGTTGTAGGCCTTTGCCATTACATAATCCATGGTGAACAGAGAGGCAATATGGCTTTTTCTCATACACAAACACACGTGCTGGCTGCATTCACAGTCTGTTACCCACTCAAAACAGGACTACAGCTGGCAGCTTTAAATTGTTTTGTTTTTTTTGCAGCTGCAGCATGGACAAAAAGTAAAGTGAATGGATAGGCCATATACCATGCATACTCCTCAATAAGGTAAAAACTATTATGGTGATGCAATTGTCCATGTGATGTATTTGGTATAAATTTAGTGTGTTTTGTATTTCATTCATTTTAATTTCAGTCACATTTAAAACATCATTGGCAAAATTAAAACCCCACAGAATAATAGAAAATACATTAACAACAATTTTGACAGAAAGGGATGTATGATGACTCTTTTCATTCTTTACTTCTGAAATCAACATCAAATATGCTGCTGTAATAATGAGTCCACTGTAGGCAAGCGTTATGAGAACCCAAGTGAAGTTTTATTAATAAACATAAACAGAACAAACCAAAATGTCATACAAAACAGACATGAACTAAACAAGATCTTGACATGACCATGAAAAAAACTCACCAACAGTGGAGTGGAGGTGGAACAGGGGGAGGGATGGAGGGCCACGCCCGTGAAGGGGAACAGGACCTGGATCATGGAATGGACTCTGGAGCGGCGGCCATGATGTAACAAGGCTCTGGCATGGCGGTCATCTTGGCTGATGACTCAGGCATGGTAGCCATGTCGTGAAAAAAGCTTTGGCTTGGTAGACTTGATGTGAGCAGGCTCTGTCTTGGTAGTCATGATGTGTGCAGACTCTGTCTTGGCAGGCATGACGTGAACAGGCTCTGGTGTGGCAGTCGTGGCATGAATAAGTCCTGACATGACACTTGGGACATGGAAATGCTCTGGTGGGGTGGGCACTGAAGGATTGCAGGGTTCCTCATCAGCAATCCCCACAGTAAACGAAGATCCGCTTAATAACAAGGCATAGTCAATGTATTTAGCCAAGGGTAAATGGATTTTTCCCCCTGGCAATTTAGAATGAATGGGCTCGTTCAAACAAAACTGAAAAATGAATGTGCCACGTCATTAAAATCAACTAGGTGACAAAGATCACAAAAGTCCTTAACATAGTCCTCAATAGAGCACTGGCCTTGACGAAGGTGCAGGAGATGAACTGCTGGGTTCATGTTTGTAATGGTCTAGCTTTCTGTAATGACGAGTCCACTGAAGGTGAGCGTTGTGAGAACCCAAGTGCAGTTTTATTAATAAACATAAACAGAACAAACCAAAATATGATACAAAACAGACATGAACTAAACTAGATCTTGACATGACCATGAACAAAACTCACCAACAGCAGGTTACACAGTACAGGGAACAGGAAATCGCATGACAATGATAAGAGAATAAAAAATAAAAGACAAGAAACCTAAACCCAAAAAACAACATTACAGCTGCTCTTTACATGATTTTATTGAACCTGGAGTTTTGTTGGCTATATTACACAGTATTTATGTTATAATGCACTCCAACTTGTACTGTCAAATCCTTTAGAGACATCAGCCTATAATAGACACAAAGTTAATTATCATCTGGAAAAAGCATGTTAAGCCCTGGATTACAAGAGAAGCTCTTTCAAATCCTTTCTGGTGGTCTCAAGACATTACAAAGTTGCATTATCCATTATCATTTAATCACTAAGCCAGTGTTTGAATCTGAGTGCGGTTGTGTAAGTGTAAAATGTTCTTTTATTGTCAGTAAGTGAAGAGAAATTCAAATTAAACAGATATTAAAGGGGTCATATGATGTTGCTAAAAAGAACATTATTTGGTGTATTATTTGGTGTAATGAAATGTGTTTATGCGGTTTAAGGTAAAAAAAACACATTATTTCCCACATACTGTACATTATTGTTTCTCCTCTATGCCCCGCCTTTCTGAAACGCGTCGATTTTTACAAAGCTCATCGGTCTGAAAAGCGAGGTGTGCTGTGATTGGCCAGCTATCCAGTGCTTTATGATTGGCCGAATACCTCAAGCGTGTGACGGAAATGTTACACCCCTTACCATATTGTGATGATGCCCTGTCAGGCCGGAGCGATGATTCAAAAACATGAAAACCCATTATAAACGAGGCATTAGTTGCATCCAGTGGGGACATAATTATGGATTATAATTGACTTATACTGTCTTTTTATATTGCGTTGCATCGCGCCACGTAAACATAAAACCATGACTGCATTTGTGATCGGAGAAATGACAAACAACAAGCCCTACTCTACACTGCCCAAAACTCGCGTTTGAATCATCAGTGGTTTTGAATGAGTGATAATCAAACATGCATAGTGGTTTGCTTAAGAAGCTACT